AGCAGAAAGAACACCACCTGCAGTTAGATGGTGACCCAAGAATATAGAGGTACCAAATGTTACGGCTGAAACAAATATAGGAGAGCTCCAGAACATGAATGTAATAAAAGCTTGAGAGTAGAGAGCTTTGCGTAGCCACTTGAACTCTACACCGCGCATTTCCTCTAACTTCAACCGGTACCTGTCCTCCCAAGCTTGCAACTTGAGAATCCTCATGTTTCGCAGACACTCAGAAGTCTTCCTCATTCTTTCATCCTTGGCAGTCATCAACTTGTCTTGATACTCTTCTTGTATCTTGGCCACTGGAACAGTAAGAACAATGGAGATAATGGTGGCAATCAATGTCGCAACAGAAGCAATTCCAACATTCTTGTACAAAATTGCAAGGGCAAGAATGATTTGCATAGGGAGCATCCACATGTCATGGAGATACCAAGAGTAGTCCCCTATCCTTTGCACATCAACAGCCATGTAGTTAACAATCTCTCCACTAGTGTGACTTTGCTTGGCTGAGCTGGAAAGTCTAAGTCCCTTTCGGTATACCATTGCCGTTAGAGCTGATCTTACATGCATACCCAAAATGTCTACCCCGAGATACCACTGCCGGGTCGTTATGGTCTCAACAAGCTTTGCCGCAAAGAAAGTACCAGCAAGGATATACCCTTCATGGGGGAAAGTCTCTATCCCCCCTAAGTAATCAACAAAATAGCTAATCATAAATGGACCCACGTATGAAACAAGAGTATTCAATCCAGCAAATACAGCATTACAAGCTGCCTCCTTCCAAAAGGACTTGAGAATTGCCCAGGCTAAAGAAGGCTGCCCTGAAGGGTTTTCAGCCTTACCTTTCTCCCAATTTGAATTCAAGATCTTATAATTGGTTTTGGCTCGATCTTGTGGCGCAAGAAGGGGAATGTCCTTGATCTCAAGCGGTCTCTTTGCCCCAATTGAAAGAAGCGGGTTCATCCAAGACAGTGTGGCTAAACTGAAAAGCCCAGCATCATGATAAGGGCTAACCTTAAGACACCCTGCTTCTTCTTGCAGCAATGGCTCTTGAAGATCAGATTGTCCAGAAACTTGAATACCAGTAACACCCCTAAACGCGACGAAACAAAGAAACGCCAGAGCCGGTGTCACAGCAAGATTTGCCACAACATGAGAACTCATGCGTTTCAATCCTTCAATTGCAAAAGCTTTCCCATCAACATATAAAGTGCACAAGCAAATCAGAAATGACACTGACCACCAGACCCTCAAAAGTAGTGGGAATTTCTCACACCCCTTGAATTTACAATGCAGAGCCGAAAAGCTCAGCGCGAACCAAGCCAAAGCTTGTGCAGCAGGCAAGACCATCACAGACCAATCCACAACATTCCCATTACGTCTCTCCCTTATCAGACCAACCCCATCAAAACCCAACACCAAAACTTGCACAAACAACACATAGAAACAACAAAAGACTGAAAATTTGAAGTCTGTGCCAACTCTAATCTCATGAGTTCCTCCATCCACAGCACTATTATGCCGAATTGAGCTCGAGTTCGAACCCGAATTGTCCTTGAAGATTCTAATCCGACCCAGACAAGCAAACACCTGTCGAGCTGAGAGGACGAAGAGGAACCCAACAAAGAGTACCAAATTGATGAGAATTGAAGCGAGCTCCAAAACAGGCAGAGCCTGCAGAGCTGTTAAAAGGGTAATCGACCATTGCTGAGCTGCTGGAGATAACGAAGGAGCTGAGGAGGTGCTTCCCTGGAAAAGGAGGAGGAGAGTGGGACCCATTATTGGATGTAGCGGAACTTATGCAGGAGTAGATTGACAAGAGTGAGTCGATGGTGAGCTACTAAGCGAGAGGAGAAGGAGAGATCGAATTGTTTGATAGAGAAGGGCATTTCACCATCTGGGTTTTGAGATACTCTGCAGAGACACATTGCACATGGAAACAAACAGATACAGATTTTTATCAACAACACGCAATTCAGAGCGAGACACACACGCACAAGGCGACAAAGACGATGACGAAAATTCGAAAACTTAACGGAAAAATACCAAAACATAAATTAAAACTTGCCTGAAATTTTTTTGATTCAATGGCGTGAACCGATGGAGGTCTGTGCTGAGGCAAGCCTGTGATGGAGGTTGCCCAACAAGCTCTGCCTGTCTCTCTCTCTCTAAACGCAAAATTGAACAAAACCCACAAAGATTTTACACTGAAAATCAACAAAGAAAACGTTAATGGCGATGAGAATTGAGAAAGCTGAGGGCTTTAACATGTGGAAGTCGAGAGAAAGAAAAAGAGGGTCTTTGTTTATGGGGTTTTTTCTTCTTTCTCTTTTTGTTATATAGTTTTTTAAACTCTGCATGTCAAGTTTTCCGAGGAGAGAGCCTTTATACTGCCGGTCGAGAAAGAAAGATGGAGGAAGGAAAAGGAGGGACCAAAACGAGTGAAATTACTTTATACTGCATGCCCATTTTTTACTGCATACTCTTTTTTATTTTTAATTGACAAATCAAACGAAAAAGAAAACAATAACCAAATTATTTAGTGTGTAGAAAAACAAAATGTGTATTTATGTTTTTCTTTATGAAAATAGGAAAGTTATTTGTTTATTATTCTTTTTTTTAGTATTTTTTTATTTTTTTAATATAAGCAATATCCTACTTCAAACTTATCCAAAATATAGTACAGAATTTAAACTTGTATGCAAAAGGTCACACTGCTCCAACCAATTAGACCAAGTCTACGGTGTTTGTTAATTTGTTGTTAGGTTTTAATTTTCATTGTATGTTAAGCTTTATTTATTATAGTTTTCCAAACCCCATTATTTATATAAATGTACATGGTTGTAGAGTTAGAGACATGTGTGTATGATATTAGAAAGAGATTTTTTAGGCAAGTTTAATTGTTTGAATTTGATTCAAATGCTTTTTTTAGGAATGGTTTTTAAATAAAGATTAAAAATTGAGCAATCCGATTATGAATTCTTCAAACACTTTAAATAAATTTATGGATAATATTTGCCTCTCCCGTTAAGTTCAAATTTGCACAATTTGTGTATTACTAGTTTTTAAATTTTCAACTTGTACTATGTTTAGTTGTTTATTATTAGTTTGCAAACCCTATTATTTATGTGTAAATGTACATGTTTGTAGAGTGTGATTTGAGAAAGAGAATTGTAGATAAAGAATATGTTGTTGGTGAAGAGAATCGTAGAAAAAGAATATTATTATTATTATTATTATTATTATTATTATTGACATGTTTAGATGTGTTTATTGATGAGATCATGATGGGGATCTCATCAAACAAGAAAATACTAGATTACGAGTGGACAGTCCATTTGGTAGTGTATGAGAGAGAAAGAGAGACAGAGACAGATATTTGTTTGTTTACACATTACAGTGAGTAATTTAGGTGGCGTTAGGTCGTAGTGGTGGATTTTTTAATGAGAATATTGGATATGACTCTGATGCCATGATGATAATTTTGTTTGGGTTCTCACTAATATCCCGATATTATTCCAATATTCACTACAATTTGACTTTGAGGCTTTTGCTTTTAGCACCTTAAATATTCTCAATCAACATGTTACATCCCACATCATTCAACAAAATGGATCTTCTAAGCCTTATATGTACATACTCATCTCTTTCTAGCACGAGACATTTTAGGAGCTCATTGGTTTAGGGTTCCATCAGAACTCCGAAGTTAAACGAGTTCGCGCGAGAGCAATCCCATGATGGGTGACCCACTGGGAAGTTCTCGGAAACAAAACCGTGAGGGCGTGGTCAGGGATCAAAGCGATTAATATCGTGCTACGATGAAGTCGAGCTTGAGATCTGGTAGATCCCGAATCGGGATGTGACAAGGCACCAGATCAAATATTTGTTATAATATTCACTGCTTTCAGTTTGAGGCTTTGAGCATCCCAAATATTCTTCTCCAGTACCATCATTAGTGATTTAATTAGTAAGAGAAGTCATCAACCGGAGAGAAAGGAAAGTGGAAGCTTGGTTGATCTGATCCATAAATTTTCCGATATATGGATTTTATTTTTTTTAAATGAATTCACTCCTTTTTCTTTAATCAGAAGCGTCAATAAATATAAGGAAAATCATGAATTTGAACGGTTCCAACACCATGTTTTAGAAAATGCATGCAAATCAAGAAGCCGAATAATTTCACTATCCATTCTATATAAGTAAATTTACCACAACATAAAGCATATTCACATACTCAAAATGGAGGAATTCATTAATATGTGAAAGGAGTATGAATAAGAACAATTGCTCGCTTAATAAATTAATCCCGATTTTTTCAAGTATTAGGTTAATTACCAATTGTAATGTAAGAGTCACATGTTTTTTTAATTTCATACATATTAACAAACGCATGAAAAGTTATAAATCTTTCTTTGTAGAAACAATTATAGATACATATATGTTAACTAGGTAGCAGTGGCACACTGGCATATGCAATGCATGTAACTGAAATCATCAGGGGATTCACAGTTAGGGTTTATTAACACTACACTATGAATCTAAGAAGAAGAACAGAACAATCTTACGTAAAGAAGCAGAGAAAGAGAGAGAGAGAGAACGAGAGAGTGAATGGTGATTTTGTATATTTCAGAATGTATTGGAATACAAGTCTTAGAGAGAACCTTTCTATTTATACATGCTCATTTCTGTCTTAATCAGTTTCTAACAAACTCATAACCACCTTATATCTTCCTACAATCCCAACTAACTATCTAACTGACAGAATAACAACCTTGCTGATGTGGATTGCTGATGTGGATTGCTGATGTGGTATATCATTCAACATCCCCCCTCAATCTCAACTGGGTTTCCTAGTTTGAGATTGAAAGAATGCTTGAGAAATAATGGACTATGCAGCCCCTTTGTCAGAATATCAGCAGTTTGTTCTACAGTGGACAAGTAGTGAACTTGGAGATCTCCCTGTTGAACTTTCTCCCGTACAAAGTGGTAATCAGTGTCTAAGTGCTTAATCCTGGAATGAAATACTGGATTTGCACTATAGCAATAGCCGATTTGTTGTCACAATAGATCACAGGAGCATAATTAAAAATGACAGCCATATCTTTGAGCACACTTCTGATCCATGCTATATCAGCAGCTGTATGAGCCAAGGCCTTATATTCAGCTTCGGTAGAACTGCGGGACACAGAATCCTGTTTCTTCGATTGCCAAGAAACTGGATTGCATCCAATATAGACCACATAACCAGTAACAGATCTCCTGGTATTCAAATCCGCAGCCCAATCTGCATCACTGAATGCATGAATTCCCACTTCTGTATGAGCGGAGAATGTGATTCCATGATGCATAGTGCCTTTCAAAAACCGTAATATCCTTTTAACTGCCCCAAAATGGACCTCAGTTGGTTTAGCCATGAATTGACACACAGTGTTTACTGCATATGCAATATCTGGCCGTGTAAAGGTTAGATATTGCAGTGAACCAACAATACTGCGATATAAAGTAGGATCTGATAAAGGATCTCCTTCATTTAGAAGCAAAGGAGTATGAGGTTTGCATGGTGTTGATGCGGGTTTACAGGAGTCCATACCGGCCTTGTGAAGAAGATCTTTGACATACTTAGACTGATTAACCCCAATATCTCCATTGGATTTATAAGTGATCTGCAAACCAAGAAAATATGTCACCAGGAAATTGTGTTTGTTTTTTGTGTTGAACATACTAAGTTGGCTGCTTCTGCAGTTATGAAGATGCTGACAAAATCACCAGGAAACTTTTGCGGGTTTCCCTAGGTATGGCCCCCAGCTGCTGTGGGCTGAGGTGAAGGATGATCAAACTTCTTTCTAGCCGACATGCACATGTGGCTGTGGGGGCACTTGCTTTTGTAAGTTTTGGTGACAGTTCTTATAATTTCTGGGCCGTGATCTCTGACTGTGAATCTGTGATGCACTCATTTTGTTTTCAATGAAACAATTGCTCATCAAGCGAGCCACATTTTACGTGTCTCCCAATTGCATGGCATTTTATAGGCAGTGCAAGCATGGATGCCTGCATAATTAAAGCCATCCCAACGAAGAAGAATAAAGTAGCTTTATTCTTTGTTTTTAATTCAAAATAGTTGTTATATATAATGCACTTCAAATAGAGAATCAAACTATTCCCTTTTGAAAATTTTCGACAAAATTTTTATCAAGGTCCTATCATAAAGTTTGTACGTATTTCTATCGTTAACATCGTACATTTTCTTTAAAAAAAATATTGTTAACCAAAAATAAAAGTTAATTGTTTTCTAATTATACTACTGTGCTATGTTATGGAAGAAAAAAAGGCAAACTTTATACACCAATAAGCTCAACTCAATAGGCTGCCCTCTCAGTTTCATGGCGACCTTTTACATCCATTTGTTGGGTACATTTTGTGGTTTTATGCACTGAGCTCTAAATAGTTTTTAGGGTTCTTTATAGATAGACTCTTAAAACTCTTTTTCCTAAACAAAAACCCACCTACCTTTTTTTTTTGAAAGCTAAAACCCACTTAACTTTAAACATTCAAATGAAATCCAAATTTCAATAGACTGTCACGCAGACAAATATATAACTAATTATTATTATATCATAAAATTCTAATTATGTCAATAAATGTTATTACTCACCCTAATTATGATGAGCAATTAAACCTATATGAAATTTTACCTTCCTTGTATCATAAATTTAGTAGCATATATAAATTAGTTTACCCATAGGGAACTGTTATTAACACTCCAAAAATCTCATTCTAGACTCCTCACAAGTATAATTTTCTTACTAATTATAGAAAGTTTGGAGTGCAAAATGAGATTTTTGGAGTCCTAGTAACAATTCCCTATCCATATTAAAAATAATATTAGGTATCTTTTGTATGATAAAAATTCCTTTGTACAATCAATAATATTGTTTGATAAAAATAAAAGCAATTACTATTGTTTTATTTTGTAGTTAAATTATTTTTCATGGATTATTACATATATCAGGCACTTTTTATTATATATATGCATGTTGAAATAATTTATCTATATTTATATGTAAAATATAGTTAATTAACTTTGAATTATATAACATGTTTTCTGCATGTATATTAAGGACGTTGTATTGTTATTATATACATATATACTATGTGTTTTTAAAATAATTTGCTTATATAATAATTTTGTTGTTAATATATATGCATTCAAATCATGACATTAATTTTTTTTTTTCAATTTGTATAATTTATTTCCTCCTATGCATGAGACATTTAATTGTATTGTGAAACATCGATATTTTATTGAGATAGTAGAGACTGCATCAAGTCTTGGACAAGAAGGCCTTGAATGAGATCAAGAGGGCTCCTCGAACCAAACTAATAGAAGTGGTAAACTGAGCAATCCTATGGGCTTAAGCCATTGCAAGATCTTGAAGCATACACAAACTCAATGTGTATAGATTAATTTGTAAAATAAATGTTGATAACAAGTAAATAACCTAAAGTCAAATGTTATTAGGGGTATTTTTGGCACCCAAAAATACAAATTGTGCAAAGTTTAATAAATTTGTTTAGTTGGATCCTAGTCATTGGATTTTTGTTGGAAAAATTTTTATGGTGGGTTTTAGCATAAAGAAAATTGAATTTTAAGAGGTAAGGTGACATTTTCAGTAGTTTCTAATGCTATATATTAATTAATTGCTAACCATGCAAGTAATTAACCAGTAAAGAGAGTAGCACAATAAGCTTAAGGCTTCAAAATACTGAAATAAGGCTGCACATATGGTGGCATCTTATGCCGTGCGTATGGGGGGTAGTCATTCCTGGGATGGGTTGGAACCAGAGTGGTTGTTTAATACTCTGGCTTCTGGTGTAAACATTTCGATTCGTATTTAATTTTAATCCAACCTTTGACAAAAAAATAAAAATAAGCTTAAGGCTAGTTGGTGTTTAATTGCTCTTGTTAAACCGTTTGCCATTCAAACATTTGGCATTAAAACTTACGATCTTCACAAAGTTAGCCACTGGGTATCCATCACCATATAAACGTCTTAACAGCCTTTCTTGAACTCGGAATTAAATTCTTTGTCTCTGGACTGATGCTGACTTAAGCTCACACAAGTTGTAAAGAGCTATCATATATTCACGAGAAATGCTAAGGAGACTCTTTCGAAGTGATATTCTTTATAGACTCTTCGCTACCTCATAGTTTTGGCACAATATTTTATAAAAATGGCAGGGAAATTGTGCCAGAAAACATAAGATAGCGGAGAGTCTCACTTTTAAGAAAGTTTCCTTAACATTTCTCTATTCGCATTCACCCCCTAGATTGGACCAACAGTTTTCAATTAGGACGGCACCTTTGTGTCTTTCAAACTCCATAAAATTCAATAATACATGTCATGATTATTTGGTTTAAGACATTAGTCTCTATTTTGTTAGATGAAGCAGTAGGTTCAAATATTGTAAACTATAATTGTTTGTCTATAAATATACATAAATATATATATATATATATATTAGTATAATATAAAGTTTTTATATTTCAGAAGATGATTGACCATTTTGATTTTGTACATCTCTCACACGGTTCACCAACCGACGTCCTATACACATATACGAGAAGCGAATTGTATCACGTTTGCATTTTGTTGGTGACATATTTTATTGCATGCAGTTTCTTGTCGGTACGTCGTAATATATATCCCCACGAATAAGTCCTGTGAGCCGTGCTGATATTTTTTTTCGGTGGGAAGGTCCACGACTCTATGGGCTAATTGAGGATTAAGGAGGAGTTAAACACTTCCTTAATCTTAATTAGATATTGTCACTTAGTACTACGGTCTAGTGATATTCCTCTTCACTTGTAAGTGAGAGGTCTTAGGTTTGATTTTTACCAAATGCGAGTTTGAACTACATTATTGTTAGCCCATTGTGAGGCTAAGCTCACCCCCTCCAATTAGTGTAGATAATATCACTTGTTCAAAAAAAAAAAAAAAATTAGATATTGGTTAATCCATATGTACGTAAGTGGCTTGCATTTTCATCCCAGCTGCGTAACCGCGTTAGGGTTTGGAGTTTATTATTATGCCCTTGTACGTGCTTATCCAAATGGTTGAGCTACTTGTCCATGCACAATAATGATCGAAGACTCAACAAACAACCATTGCATCTATCATACAGTCCACATGTTCACCTACGTGTTCTTCTCAGAATAATATCGACATGTTATTCTTGCCTCTCAGTTAATTTAGCATTGAATTCCATGCATATCCCACTTATAGGTGTGGCATGAACTACAAAATCAATTACTTCGTAATCTTGATCGGTCGTTCCACTCTACCAGAAATTTACGGAATATATTAGGATGTAATACGTATTTGAATAGTGACAAATTCATGCATAAACATTTTGTATCTACGTGAAGTAAGTTAAATGTAGATATAACAGGACTTTAGCCCTTGAAAATGCTCTTTTTTTTTCTAAAACCCGACATAGTTTTTAACCTGAATAAAACTCAATGACTAGGCAGCACATAAGTAAATTTATTAGTTAAGCTTGACTTTACAAATTTTGTAATTTGTGAATATCTAAAATACCACTAATTATATTTTGACTTGTACTTTTTTTGTCAACGATAAATTTTGTTAAATTAGTCACTGACAAGGTTCGAACCCACATTGTCATGCAAGGGCTCAACACTTTTTTACCACTGTAGTAAATGACCACTTGCTATTTTGACTTATACTTTGGGTATGTTACTTTTGTGTTATCTACAATTAATTGTATGCATATTATGTGAATTAATGCCAATCTATTTTTATAAACTTTCCCTATTGAAAAACGGGTTACAGACAAAAAAAGAAAGGGCATTATATGTTATTAGTTCTATGCACATTGATGTTATTTGATTCGAAATTTTCAGATTGAAAGAAAGGAATGAATTTATTTACCGACAAAAAAAGAAAGGGCGTTAATGCTATAAATTCAATGCACATAGATGTTATTTGATTCAAAATTAATTTATTTACATATATTTTATGATCCTTAAGGTACCGTTTGGTATGTGGGACGGGACGGAATGGAGTGGGACAAGACGTTCCGTCCCACGTTTGGAGTGACTAAAACGGGTGGAACGCGCTGTTCCACGGAATGAATTTTGGGTAAATTTTCGTTCCGCCTCACTCCCTGGAACGACTCGTTCCACATCCGTGGAACACAAAATTATAACATCTCCGTCTCCTTCTTCTTCCTCCTTGTTTCCATCCGAGGGCATCTTTGCTCCCTTTGCGTTTCATCTCGTCTCGTCTGCATACCAAACGATACCTAAATGTGTCCAATATATGTAGCAATACATGCAAAATAGATTACATATATAATAAAAGAATGTTGTTTGATTTGAAGATAACTCTATGTAATTTCAATTGTTTCGTAATGCTTTGGAGGATAGTTAACTCTAAGTTGTTGTGCATGACTCTCTTTTTTAGGATAAGATTTGATTTCCTTGCCTGTTAGGTTTTGGATTTACTTCCTATTACGATTCTGATTGTAGAAGTCGTATACTCTATTAATAGGACCTTAGGAGTTAGACTATTGTGGTGTGTCGTCGCCATTAGTTTAAAGAGTTTTCTCTCTTTTGGTTTTAGGGTGGAGATCACCGTTTAGAGGCATGAGTATGTGGAAAATTTGTGACTTATTTGAGTGGCAAGTTTGTGAGAGTTAATTTGTGAGTTTGAGAGTTTAGTGAACAATTTAGGAGAATCTCCTCCGTGTGTTTTGAGTTCTCAACTCGTTTGATCTAGGGTTTGTAAATAGTGAGATTTAGGTTGTTGAGAGTTAAACATTCTTTTGTGTTCTCTGTTTGTTTAGTGAAATTTCCATGGTGCTTCGCCTTTGGACATAGGTTTTATGCCCAACCACGTTAGTCTCTTATGTTCTTATTTTGAGATTGTTTGTTTCTTGGTTTTCACATGCGACATTATTTGGGAGAATCTCCTCCGTATATTTTTTTGTTCTCTTCTCATTTTATTTAGGATTTGTAGTGTGTGGGATCTTGATTGTGAGAGTTAAACTCTTTTGTTTTCTTCGTTTGTTTGGTGAAATTCCTCGTCATGCTTCGCCCGTGGAGTAGGCTTAACCACGTCAATCTCTTATGTTCTTATTTTGAGACTGTTTGCTTCTTCACTTTCGCGTCGTTGATAACTTAGTACTTTGTTAGAATTTCGCTTCCACTTGCGCATAAAAGTACAACACTAAATATTCAGTCCATCAAACTTTAAAAAATGTAAGTTGTGATTACTATCATTTGGTAGAAGTGTCATATATCCTCTTTTTTTTTCCTTAAACCAGACGATATAGGAGGAGGGTGAATTTGAACATTGAATTTTTCATGCAAAGAAAAACATTCTAATCAACTAAGTTACAAGATACCACTTAGTACTATGGTCTAGTAGTATTCATCTTCACTTATAAGTGAGAGGTCTTAGGTTTGATTTTCTCCAAAGACAAATTTGAATCACATTATTACTAGCCCATTATGAGGCTTCGCCTACTCTCCAACCCTCTTAGTGTGATAATATCGTTCGTTAAAATAAAATAAAATAAAATAAAATAAAACTAAGAATACAAGTGTTCCTTACAAAATATGTGGCTGAGCTCCATTGTCAATCATGAATTATTAAGCTTCGGATCCTTAATATTGGGCACTGAAAGCAGTCCTCATTCTTACTCTCTCTACAATGATTACAGCTGGAAATTAATGTAGGATACCATAAAGTCCGTCCAACCCCAAAAAGCTTCATAATTGATGCCTTTGATTTTTCCAACCATATAAGGTTTGATGTACATTTGTGGTCCAAGTGTAAACTGGAAGGGACCGAGAAAGGATCAAATGTGATGGTGTTAGGTTCCCCAACCTGCAGTTGGGACAACATTTTCATGCACATGCATCTTCCACATGTCACAAATGTCTAGCCAGCCAGCTAGCTAGTAAAGAGATATTTTCAAGGATTCTGTAGATCTAGATTCATCATGATTCCTTAATAAAAATCCATCTAATTTTTTTTTTAATAAATAATATTATTTATACTAAGATGTATAGTAAGCTTCGCCTCAACAATTACAATGATTTAAGGGGAGAGAATTTGAAACAGTTACATATATTGGGCACATTATTATTATTGCATGTAAAATAATTTATTTATTATATTTAGTTATTTAATTATATGTAATATAGGTAAACTAATTGTTGAGAATAAGTCTCACATTGATGGAAGAAAAGACCTTTCATGAGTTTATAAGAGATTGGGTTACTCCCTATATTGCCAATTGATTTTATGGTGGAACCTCAACAACTTTCTTCACTAATTTTGAATAAAATAACAATAAGAAATGGTGTAGGTAAATTATCTTGCATGTATTAGTACATATATTGGGCACATTTTATTTTTATTATATGTATTTGTGTGTAAAATAATTTACCTGAATTTATATGTTAAATATAGATAAATTAACTTTAAGTAAAAAAAATTATACTTGAATGCATGAGAACTGTTTTAGGGTTTGAACTCCAAGTATAATTAGGTCCATGGGCTGATTAAGAATAGTTAACCTGCAGTTTCATCAGGCTGCATTGGTTTTGGACTTTGCCTTGGCATCATACTTATCCAAATGGTTGAATCTAGTAATGGTCAAAAGCATCAAAACAAAAGTATTGATCAGTGTGCGGACAGAGATTGCATCACACAGTATAACGTGTTCTTCTTCTGAAGGGTATAATCTCGACATTCTTTTGAAGAGCATAATCTCGACATGTTAGGATGCTACTCATGAGTTTATTTTGCCCTTGAATTCCTTCTCTCATTTAGTCGTGGTAACAAACAACATCTTATTGAGTAGTTATAAATGCACAACTAAATTCGTCTGATACTAAAATTTACATTGGAAATTCATCACTTTTAGTTTCGGACGTTCTATTCTATTGAAAATTTAGTGATAACAAACTCATAACACTATTTGTACATGTATGTAAACAATGTATATGTTAAAATTTGATGTTAATCCCAGCCTATTGTAGAAGAACTCATTTCTATGCCGCTTTTGCTGTTGGAATTCATAACACTTTATGTATATCTAATCTAGCTATTTACACTATCAAACCTCAAAGTTTTAACATGTGATTATCTAAACTTCTTCTGGTAGACCCTGCCATTTGAAGCTTAGACAATCATGAAATCAAAGATTTGAGCTCTCTCTGTAGTAGTAGCGCACACGGCATCAATGATAGAAGTAACAAATATTCATTGTCGGTGATGGCAATCATGATCTGGGTGACCCCGATTTATGTACGGCAGGAAAAAGGGTAGGGTTAGGGTACCATATATAAAGTCCGTCCAACCACAAGGCTTGTGAAATGTTGCATTCTATTTTCCCCAATAATAAATGTGATGGTGATAGCGCTCTTCAACATGCATAAGGATAAGGGACAACATTTTTCTCACACATATATGAATGTTTTACATGCCACAAATGCCTAGCTAGAAAATAGTTTTTCATGCAATTATCACCAACGTGCGGACCTTTTCGGCCGTTGATGTCGAATTTATAAAAATAAGAATCTCAAATAAGTAACAATAATTTTGTTATATGTCGACAAAAAAATTTAGGGTAAATTACATAAAACTACCTCAACTCATACCTTCTGTCAATTGTCTGTCAATTTCTCCGTTAAATGCTGACGTGGCTTGAGGCGGGACCCACTTTCAATTAAATATTAACTAAATATTAAAAAAAAATAAAATAAAATAAAAACCAAAAAAATCCAAACCCACACCCAGATCCCCTTCCTATCTTCCCCATCGACCTGTGTCCCCACCCCCCAAAACCTTCCTTCCAAACCCAGAACCCCACCCCCACCCCTTTTCTCGCTCCCGAGCCTCCCAACCACCTCCCTCTCTTCCACTCTCTTCACCTCCCCTCCCATTCAAAACTTAAAAAAATAAAAAATAAAAAACAATGAGAAACAAATCTGAACCCAGATTGTCCAGATCGTCGCACCCCACCCAACCCTTCCTTCCTGTCGAAGTCGGACCACCTCAACTGGTCCTCAAGTACCAGGAGCTCTGCGACCATTACCTTCACTAGACCTATCTTGCTCACCCTCTTCGGAGCTGATCACGATTTGGGTGTAGCGATGCGGATCACGATCTCGGTGACGAGCATGATGTCACTGTTGTTACTAGCGATGATGGGGGGTTGGGATTGTCGTCTGGGTGGGTGGTCGGGTTAGGCTTGGAAGGGTCGGGTTCGAAGAGTGGAGGAGAGGAAAGTGGTTGGGAGGCTCAGGAGGGAGAAGAGGGGGTGGGGGTGGGGGTGGGGGTGGGATCTGGGTGTGGGTTTGGATTTTTTTGGTTTTTAATATTTAGTTAATATTTAATTAATTTTTTATAGAAAGTGGGACACGTCAGCATTTAACGGAGGAATTGACAAACAACTTACGGAATGTATAAAATTGTAACAAATTCGTAAATGAGGTATGACATTGACATTTTTTAAAGACGGGGTATGAAACTGTGACTGATCCAATAATTGAGAGTAATTTTATGTAATTTACCCAAAAATTTATTATATACATGGTTAACATTTGTCTAAGATGGGAAGCAACGTGTTCCACAAAATCTACCAAACATCTGTAATTGCGATATGTAATTTTAATTATTGAAGTGAATGTGATGGCATTGGCACATTAAACTTCTGCATTGCGATATGTAATTTTAATTATTTCTTTTAGCTTAAGATAAAACATCTGTAATTTTATTACTCCACAAATCAAATTTTAATCTAAAAATTACTGCATTTCGATATGTAATTTGAACGTATTTAAAGCTAACAGTTTCGTATAAAAAGTGGTAGCAGTTTCTGAAAGATAAACTTTTACCATCACCCTGCAAACAGGTTCAAATAGGAATCGAAAATGAATGAATCAGATTATTTCCATGTAATGTTTTAAAACGAGTGTTTGCGTTAGAGTCTAGAAGTGTGTCGGCTAGGAAACAGATATACCATTCATGTTGCAAGATGCAACAAAAGAGAATACTGATTTCTACTACAATGTTTGAATATTATTGGCTTTTTAGTCAAAATGGTCTCTGAGATTTTCATAATACATCACTTTGGTTCCTGAGATTTGCATAACACATCACTTTGGTCCCTGAGATTTGAAATCAATAGAAGTGATTCTTAAGATTGTCCACCATCAATCATTTTGGTCTTTCTATTCAAAATTATGTTAAATAAGGATCAAAATGACAAATATACCCTCAATTTAATAAATAATAGGTCAAAATGATTTGACAAAAATTAAGGGTATTTTGATCATTATATTCTTGTTTAATGGAGATTTTTTTACGGAATTACCAAAATTATTGATGGTGGACAAACTCAGAGATCAATTCTATTGATTTCAAATCTCAATGATCAAAATGAGAAGTTATGCAAATCTCAGGAACCATTTTGACTAAAAAGCCAACATTATTTCATTTTTAGTTATTAGTTATTGTTCATTTTAGTTATTAGTTTTTATTTTTGAAAAATACATGAGAGGAAGGAGGGATGTAAAAGCTAGAGATGATGACTGATGGAGGACAAGGGTAGAATATGTGTATCAGAAAGTACGCAAAATGAAAACCAAAAACTAAAAATCCAAAAGCCAAAAATTATTTTGAGGGTTTGTATGACTGTCATTTCGTATTTAGTTTTTAGTTTCACTTTCTTCAAATATATTTCCTCATATATCAAGCACCAAAATAAAAGCCAAAAAATTAAAAAAAAATTATTATCAACAGACCCTAAATTATTTTGACTTTCAAGATGTTTCCATTAATTCTTCTTTATTTATTCCCCTCACTTCCACCGTTCTTCTTGTAAATTTACTTGGGATTTCTTGTTTGCATAAATAAAAGCTTTGAGCAATTTTTTATTTATTATATAGTTTTTTTAAACTACTTTAATTTATACTAAGAGACCGTTACACTGCTTTGACCACTACCATAACCCACATTTGCATAATATAGTTTAGGATTAGATAGAAATAAATCATATCCTAAAAACTAAAGAGGTGCAAGGAGGGCAGAAGCTTCCTCTTGCAAAAGCTTCCATGCTGCAAGCACATGCCTCTCCTCAGTCAATGGAGCTCCTACTGCAAAACGTAATACGTACTTTCCTGACAACACCTGCATATATAACATGTTGGTATCATCAGGACTTGCGAATTTACAACAGAAAAAAAGTGTCAACGATACCAAATAGTGAGCTTACAGTGTGAGAAACGAAAATTTTTCCAGTCGAGTTTACAGTATCTAGTAGGTCATGGTTCAGTTTCGTCGCATAAGTTTCATCGTTGTGAGGGGGTAGAAGACGGAAACAAACCAACGAAAATATTCGGGGAGTAACAATCTGCAGTTATGGTGATTATCAACAAGGTAAATGTTCATAATATTGCAGCATTCAACTTGTAATGAAATATAGTAATCAAACAAGAAACTTCACTTTTTATCAAAAAAAAACAAGAAACTTCACTAGGAATACAATTAATTACCTCAAACCTGGAGTCTTGAGCAACAAGATCTTCGAAGCATTTAGCCAAATCGATATGGTTTCTTATGTAGGATTGTAGATTCTCCAGACCATAAAGTCTTAGCACCATCCATAGTTTTAATGATCTGGAAGCAGCAGTCGATATATAACAGTCAGTTATTAGCTTTAATGTGTGAGTTTATTAACTTACATTCTTTTTTTTCACTTTCATTTTTTCTTTTTATTAGCTGCCCAATCATGGTGGATGGGGGACCCTACTAACCCGAGGGCTTTAGGGTGCACATTGTGTGATTTCACCCAAGGGTGAACAGACCAAGACCACCATAACCTCACCTGGTTAGGCTTCATCCAGGCAACCAATCACTTTAATGCTCTACTTAGTTATAAGTCCACGCTACTAGGCTCGACATTAGCTTACCTTCTTAAAGAGAGAGATTCTACTCTAAATGATCTTTGTACTACTAAGACAACCCAATGTCACTGAGAGCAGTACAACGGAGAGTTATAATGCCGTGTTTGGGAACCTTACGGAAATAAATATATTGAATTTCTCCCATCTGGGTTGCACATATGAGCTCTGAAAACTCAAAGCATCGATCTAACTCCATATGTGAAAAATGTTCAAAGGCACACCTAAACCGACGTCCAAGTGGAATTTGCCAATCTTTGTAATCCACAACCAGGTTTGCTTGAGAGGCCTGCAGTATCAACAACGTAATAATCAAGGAAGAATTAAGGGATGGAAACAAGGGAAGAAGTGCAGAAGGAGAAAACGCTAGTGTGAAATACCCATAGCTAATAGTAAAGAGGATAATTTAGGAGAAAATTACCTTGTTTTTAAGGAACTCAGGATTTGTAGACAGCGCCTGGACCAAAGCGTTTCTATCCTGTTATAAGTAAATAAGTATATGTTCTATTAATCAATCACAAGAACAGGAAAACGATAGCAAAAGGGTGTCACACAAAACAGATATTTTGTCACATGGCAAAACTGTCATGCTAAATCTCCGACAATTAATGAACAATCATACTAATTTCCCACAGGATCACACATTTCCACTACAAGTTGACTGCATGGAAGTAGAATTCATGTAGAACTATTTGGGCAGTTCTCAAAGTTCATATCGTGAATGCAGAAAATGATAATGGTATTGCGCAAATTCTTCAGAAATGATGCTTGCATGTGGTTCGTAGAGAGAGGAGCAGTTGGCCGGAGGAAGTACAAAGTAATTAGCAGATGAACAATGTGCACAACCACGTAATGACATACCTTGATCCAGAGCAACGAACAATCAAAGTTCGTAAGAAACCATTTATGTGCATTCATGTTAAATGAGTCCGCTTCTTCAACACCATCAATGTGGTGTCGGTATTCTGGACATATACAAGCGCTACCAGCGTATGCAGCATCCACATGGAACCACATTCCATTGCTCTGAGAAAATGCAAAGAATTACAACAATTATGGACAAGATTATTTTACAAAAGTTTAATGTACGTGATCTTTGTATTAAAAGAGGTTTTGCATAAAATTGATAAACCATAAAGCAGATTAGACGATTCATTTGTTACCTTAGTAATCTTTCCCAGTTCTAGCAAAGGATCAACCGCCGTTGATGAAGTAGTACCAACCTAAAAGTACAGATGCAAACTTTCTTTAGTTAATTAGGATTCTAATTTTATGAATGTGGTAACCTTATTTCCATTATTGTAAATAGTTCGACTATTTGTTTTTTAAACCAAAATTTTTCCCGTTAACGAACATTTCAAGAACAAAATGGAAACATGCTCAGCATCTGAAGTGTTTTTGTATCTTACCGTTGCACATAAGAAAAATGGAACTAAACCACTCGCGATGTCATTTGAAATCGCCTCATTAAGTACATTGGGAGAAAGGGCATAGTTAGTAGAGGAATCGGTACTCAGCACCCTGCAATTCTCAGGATGGATTCCCCCTATCTGCAGTTAAACAATAAAAATCATTAAAAATGAAAGATATTATCAATATAGCAAGCTGAATTTAAGTGTTTACAATATATACAAATACGTTGATACTAGAGCTAGAGCACATAAGGAAGGTACCTGACAAGCCTTTTGTAAAGCTGAATGTGTTTGATCAGATGCATAGACAACAAGCTTCTCGAGGGCTTTTTTTCCTTCCGCCCTCAAAATCCTATCACGAGCAGCCAATAGTACAACCAGAACTGCTTCACTCGCTGTGCCTTGTATCACTCCACCGCCTTGTCCTGCAACAAGATATCTGACTGTAAGTCCAGAAGCTCAACAGTTCAAGAAATATCTTTCTTCATCTATTGATAAAGGAGAAAAAGCACAATTTTCTATGAGAAATTCATTAAAAAATATAGTTGTATATAGAACAATCATCTCACCTGCTGAAAGAAATTCTTCAGGAAGTTTAAGCATTTTAGCAAACCAATCCAAGACGATCATTTCAAGTTCAGTTGCTGCTGGAGAAGTTATCCAACTAAACCCCACAATGTTAAGGCCAGCACTTAGCATTTCGCCTAGGAATCCGG